TTTGCACATAGGAAGGCGGCGGAACGGTTAATGATGCAGCAAACGGGTCCTGATTCACCGCTTGAACCGTCCCGTCTGGGGCTGGAAGAGCCAACACCTGTGTGGCGCTCTTCCCTGGCCCGGGCAATGCTACACTACTAGCACTACCGCCAGTCAATTGGGAAGTACTCACATGCTGCCTCACAATGCCCTGATCATACATTCCATCCAATAACAACGGATCAAGCCCGCCACCCAGATTTTGTTTCTGCCTAGATAAATTGCTTGCTGTTTCTACCAATGCCAGTTCCCAATCTGCCTTCCCGGGCTCTGCGGCAGGGGTCTGCCAAGCCGAGGTGACTTGGGGCTGCCCATCTGATGGGAAAGCTTCCCATGATCCATTTGCAGGTCCACTACCACCAGGACCAGCAAACAAAGCCAAAGCCAACTTATTCCCCTGTGCATCAGCCGACACCCCATCATCCCTCAAATCCACCAAGTCCGGTACCACTTCCTGTTTGGGCTCCGCCTTCACCACAACCTCAGGGGGCGGTGGCGGAGTGTAATTCTCCGGCGCCGGCAACGCCTTCATCTCATTCATATTTTGGGGCTCCTCCTCTTGAGGAGGCGCAGGCACAGGCTCCACTCTCCTCTCAGGACTTTTGGTTCCCTTCGACCTGTCCCTCACAAACTCCTCCAATGTATCCAATAACTTACTCCCAATCCTCTGCACCTCTGGATACTCTGACGACCGGGCCAGACCCGAATCCTTGCACCAGGCATAAAACCCGACAAGCTCATCAATCTGCTTCGCCGCGCTCGCATAAGCATCAAACGCTTTCACACAATCCGGATACTCCATATCGAAAAACTTATCAAGCAAAACCGCCAAAACCTCACAGATATCACCATACAGCTGAAAGCTCTCCTTCACCACCGGGTACACAGCAACTAAAACCATCCGACTATTCTTCGCCAAACCCGTGGGTCGGGTCGCCAGAAACCGATCCAACAGCCTCTGCAAATGACCCATCTTCGCAAAAATCTGCTCCGGCTTCATATCCCTCAATGGGGTCACAGCCCTCTTCTCATCTCGCCCGTTTCGACTCACCGATTCATTCATATCCCCGTAAGACCTCGACTTTCTCATCCCCCCTCCATTCTCATAGTCCCTAAACTCCCGATCTCGCTCTCCTCCATACTCATACTCGTAATTCCTCGGCGGCGGAGACCTGTAATTCGAAGACCCATTAGACCCTATCGAGCTCTGTCGATCTCCAACACCACCACCACCACTCTTCCTCTCGAACAGCATGAGCTCGAGCCTCTGATCCAAGTACAGAGCGTATGTCCTCACAAAAGCAGAGTGATCCCACGAGTTCGAGTGAGCCTCGTCCCTGAAATCCGATAGGTTCAGGAGGCGGGTCCCCCTCCGGGTCGCGTACACGATCTCGTCCCCGAACACCGGGTCGCCGTCGTTCAGCAGGCGGTGGACGAGCATCAGCGCCTTGAGGGCCACGATCCAGTCGCGCGTCTTCCCCAGACGCTTCGACACCGCCGACACGCACGCGTGGACGTAGCCCCGGGACGATGACGTCAGCGTCAGTATCTCCCGCACGTGCTTCTCGCTCGCCGGCTCGTCCTCGTGCGACGTTGCTTTGACGATCGCCACCTCCAGGTCCGGCGCCAGGTTGCTCGCTACCTTCGCGATGCCGATGCTCGTCTGGTCCTTGACGGCCCCAATCGCCTTCCGGATCGTGCTCGGCGCCATCTCCGCCGTCGATTTGCTTCCCTTCGAATTATATATGCCGGCTGAGATTTGACGGAAATGACCGAAACGGGTTCGCTTGAATGCTTTTTGCTAAAAATACTGAAGAGAAAGATTGAGTTTCTAAAAATAGAAAGGGGCGGACATTTTGGTAATTACCGTCGGTGTCGGGGGTTGTCTAGATCTGCGGCTAGGAACAGTCCGGCGGGTCGGATCTCGGATCCGGTATGAGATCGGAGCAGAGATTTCTCGTGCTTTCTGTTGGGTTTCTCCCTCTTATCTCTCTCTGTCTGTGTGTCGAACGGAAGAGAGGGAGAAAAAAGTGAATTTAAATAGTGGGTTGGGGTCCGGGTGACGTGGAGGGATGTGAGCCGTGGATTGGATCTGAGATCTGGGAGCAGGTTGGGACTTGAGATTAGCTGGGTTCGATTGGCGGTAGTGTCGGGCGGCGTGTCTGAAAGAAGCATGACACGTGTGAATGTGTGTGTGTGAATGGGTTCTGATTGGGTGGAGCGGAGCTTATTTTAGGTCAACCGAGCGTACGGTTTACGGTGATACTTACCTGACTGAGACGTCCGAAAGTAAACTCGACTATCTGACAAAAAAGAAAGCAAACTAAACTCTACTAAAATAGATTCCCTCATTTAATCCTTTTTTTTTAATAATTTTTTTTTTTTAATGAGAACGGAATTCGAACTAGGATGTAGAGTGGATAACACATCTTCTCTAGCCAACTTGATTAAGGTCTAGTTTGGGATTGCTGTTATTTTAAAAAAAAGTTGCTTCTGCTGTGCTTTGAAAATAATTAACTATAAAGTAAAGCAGCTCCATATTTGATAAACAATTTTTTTAAAGTGCTGTTAGTACAAAAAAAGTGTAAAAAACGTTTGGTAAATTTTAATATAAAATTGTTGTAACCGTGAATAATGACTAAAGTAGACATGATGTTAAAAGTGTTATGTACTAATTATGTTGTGGTAATTGTAGTGATGGAGTGTAGGTGGTGGTGGTGATGAAGGTGGAGTTGGTGGTAGTGGGGATGGCAGTTGTGGAGGTGGTAGTGGTGGTGGCAGTGGCAGCATGGTCATGGTGGTGGTGGTGGTGTTGGTTGTAGAGGTGGTGGTGGATTTGGAGGTTTTGAAGGAGGTGGTGGTGGTGGTGGTGGTGGAGGAGGTGGTGGTGGTGGTGGTGGATGTGGTGGTGGCGGAGGAGGAGGAGGAGGATGTGGTGGTGGTGGAGGTGGAGGTGGTGATGTTGGTTGTGGAGGTGGTGGTGGATTTGGAGGTTTTGGAGGAGGTGGTGGTTGTGGAGGTGGAGGTGGAGGTGGAGGTGGAGGTGGAGGAGGAGGTGGTGGTGGAGGTGGTGGTGGTGGTGGTGGTGGTGGAGGATGAGGATGAGGAGGGTGTGGCGGTGGTTGTGGTGGTAGTGAATGTGGTGGTGCAAGTGGTGAAGTTGGATGTGGAAGTGGAGGTGGTGTCATTTTTTAAAATGAATGATGGTATTTTGGGAATTAAAAAAATTTATTAAATGTTCATCTCTGCTTCTTTTGAAAGCAACTTTGAAAAGCAACACAAAGCCTGCTTTTAAAAGTTGCTGTCAAAAGACCATTGCTTTTAAAATAATCGGGATATTTTTTTTTTATCAAACATCTTAAACTGTTTAACTTTAAAGTGAAGCAGGTTTTTTGCGAAAAAAAGCAATCCCAAACGAGGCCTAAGCCCGTGTATACTTTTTGTTCCTCCTTATCCTAATTGGTAATTAACGTTTTTCTTTTTTAAATTTTAACCCTTTAACAAATTAGGCGGCTATGTTATGTGAATAATTTAAGTATTGACAATTATAAAATTTTGAGAGTTGACCATGATTTGTAGCAAGAGGAAACCAGGTAATTTTGATATTTGTTTATAAGTTTACGTATAAAAATGTCAAGATGTTGAAGGGGCATCTGAAAAAATATATAAACTATTAATGGTTATGATTTAATATCTCACTTAAGAATGTAAATCAATCAGAATCTTATAATTAAGTTCTAATTTAGAGTAGTTTAGACTATAATTTGTACTTAACAAAAAAAATATAGCATATTAATTAATTTAAAAAATGATATTTACCTTACGGTTAACATTTCCTGTTAGCCAAATCTTATTGCTTCTGAAACCCTAGATTTTTATTAATAATGCAATGAATAAAGAATCTCACATGTTTAGTGGTCTTCCTTTTTCTCGAAAGTTACAAGATATCTAGTGATTTAGATATTTTTCTTTAAATAATACATTTTTTTCTATTAAAACAAACACATGCAACCAACCACTTTTCTTATTTTAATAAAGAATGTTATTAATGAAAAGAAAAGGCTTTAGTTTAATTAATGAATGAGAGGATGAAAGACAAACTGTACCAACCAAAAACTAGAATTTAAATGGATTTTGTAATTTTATACGAACATATAAGAAAAAAGTAGGGATTTTGAACAACAGATCGCGTGGCCTAATGGATAAGGCGCTCGCCTCCGGAGCGGGAGATTGTGGGTTCGAGTCCCACCGTGATCGTCTCTTTCTTTTGTTTTTATTTTTTTGGTTTTTAATTTTGTGGGATTTGTGACTTATTTATTTATTTATTTGTTCGACTTTGTGATGTATTTATTTATACACAACATAAATGAAATGATTTTGATAAACTAGATTTTGCATACTTTGATTTGATTTGACCCCAAATTTAACATTTTGTGAAAAAGCCTCTTATTCTCTACAGGTGTACTTGTTTACAGCAAACAAATATTTATACACAATAAAGGCCATCACTTCTCACATTCTCACTTTCATTTGCTCATTTCTTGGGTATATCTGTATGCACCCTCATATGTCCAGGTGCATCATCCTTTATCCACCATAAGTAGAACACTGATGACACTATCATAACAGCAGCTGCACATCCAAGTGAAATCCCCACAATTCTCCCCACCCGCTTCCTCCCGCGGTTTGCAGAATTGCCAGCACCCGGGACTACAAGAACGCGTTCACGAAACAATAAACAGATTAATTAAGCACAAACACTAATGAAAGAAATAAGACGCATCATTGGCAATTTTTTTTGCATGCAACGAGTGTATACAATGCCGCATAATAACTAGACACGTGATCAGTATGTGAATGGAGATGATAATAACCTTGACGAACATTGATTGCTGACACTAAGGGGCCATATGTGCCTTGCAACGGAATGCAGCAAGTGCCTTTGCCAGCCCACATGAAGTGGATGTTCATGATTGTGTTGGAAACGTTTGTTTCGAATGTTTTTATCAGTGCTCTCTTTGATCCCCCTGCTTCCTTCTGGATGTTGAAGTCTTGGAGGACTCTCTCACCCTTAAACAATCCAGTGCAAGCATGTCATGACGGAGGGGAAGAGAGAATAAAGAAAGCAAGCAAGAGAAGGTGCAAGAAAAGCAAGCCTTAGTTACCTGAATGTAGACGTCGAAAATGCGCCTTCCAAGACCTTTCCAAGAATTTGTGTCATCTTCCATTGCTATCTCTGCAAAGTGAAGCTCAACAATGTATTTCCCATTCATCAAATCAAGGCCAAAGTACCTCAGTGAGCTTGGTGAAAGTCTTGCTGTCTTGTACAGTTCAGACTCTAGAGTTTCTGTGATTTGAGAATCTGTGCTTGCTATGTACCGAGGTCCATTCGAGTTGAAAACAAAGTTTCCTGTGCTGCTCACTGCCCATCTGGAGCTTTTGTAGAATGAAGCAGCTCCCAGTGTTTCAGAATCGTCGTTGTATTCAATGCCGGATGCAGAAGTCTGGCTTGTGCCTCCACATTTAATAGAAAATGAAGCTGCAACAAAACTTTTCCTGGTAAATTTTATTCAGTGATTAAAATCAAGATGAAGGGCAAGGAAAGAACTTCACTTACACAATGCTGGGAGTTGATTAGTGCACTTAGCATCTCCTTGGAGGCAATTCAACAATCCAAAACCCCCCCTGACTCCATGACCATTTTAATAAGGAAAATATCAGAAATATTTCTGATATTATTTATGGTCACAATTCATAAAGTTTTCACATTTTCTTAATCTTTAGTTTGAATCACAAGTATGATGTTGTTACTGAGGTTTTGGATTTTCTTTGAGCTCCCATGACATAATGTTTTTGAAAATGTGAAAATAAGATTTCAAAATAATCGCTTAAAATTTCAAAATAAGATCCATTATCTGATTTTTCTTTTAATTTTAAATTTTTTAATATAAAAAGTGTGAATGTATATATTACCTGTCTGGTAAACCATTTCCATTGATGGATGTACCAAGCACATTCCTGAAGAGAAAAACACAGAAACTTCTGCTGAATTATGGTGCAAGATAAATAACCCTAAAGATAGTCACATTAATTTTTAATATGACAGGAAAAGGGAAGGTTAGCTTACATTGAAAATCCTGTTCTGGCAAAATTTAGAGGCAAATTCCCAGACATAGGATTGAAGGAGACATCTCTGTAAGTAAACAAGAAATTTAGCTGGTTTAATCTTCCCATCATATTATACCATTATTATCTGAGATCCACAAAGTGAAAGGTGCCACTTACAGTGCAATAAGCTTTGGAGTTATGATACTAGCAGGTAGTTCTCCACTCAAGTTATTGTCTCCAAGGTATCTGAGATCCACAAATGAACTTTTTCATTGAGGAAAATCATAATCATGGTGAACCGAATGCATTATCATACCGATAATTTCAGCTTAAAAAGTTAGAAGTAATTCAAAATAATCATGTAATAACAGATGCTGCTAGTCTTGTCATCCAACCCAATCAGAACTGCAGAAAGATGGCTGAATTGATTGAGAGACTAACTGAACTTTTTTTATAAGGTTCAAGGAGGGCATCATGCAGCAGTAGCCAAAGTCTGTTTGATTCTAATAATGCATTATGAAATTTTAAACAGAAAAATGCAAATAATCTTTACTTACAGAAACTGTAACACGGTAAAATCTTGGAATGAGTTTGGTATTTGACCAGTCAACTTGTTGAAGCTCAAATCCCTGTCATAGTGAAGTCATTTGGATAAATGGACATAGCATCATATGTCCGTTTGAGATCATGAGGAGGAATGAATGTCAAGCTACTTACAGGTATTGCAACTTAGCAAAGTTGCCAATCTGCTCTGGAATTTTGCCGGAAACTCGACAATTTCTCAAAGACCTACAACAAAATTTGAGAAATTTGTTTAAATTATAAATTAGAGAATTAAGCAGCTGGTACAAAGTTGAAGTAGATTTCAAAGATATAGGTCATACAATGTGGACAAACTTGTGAGATTCTCCAAAAATCCAAGAGAAGAATCTTCCTCACCAAGATCACCAACTCTCCTACACAAGCGCATTAGAAATGAGAAATTCCAACAAACAACACAAACTAATCCTCATTGATTTAGAAATGAGAAAAGGCTTGTGCAGTAAAAAGAAGACATTCCTACCAGAACATCAGTTAGTATACAAGGAAATGAAAATGATACACATAAACCAGCGCTCACAAGATGTCTAGTTTCTCCAGAGCACCAAAGTTGCTTGGAATTGGGCCTTCAAGCAATGTCCCTTCAAGTCGCCTGTAAACAAGAACACGGTAGCTGTTAAATCCGAAAAGTAAAATAAAATCCAAGTACAAATGTATTAGTGCCAATCAAATCCAAACATACAAGTCTTCGAGTTCTGCAAAAGCCCCTAAGAATTCTGGGAGTTTTCCAGTGAAGAGATTATCAGATGCCCAGCTGAGACAAGAAAAGATAAAGCCACAAATGAACTTACAGATATAAAAATCAAATGCTTCAATATTTCAGAACAAAAGAGTCATGCAAGTACAGAGTTTTAAGGGATTTTAAGTTGGCAAGCTCCTGAGGAATTGGTCCAGTCACTCCACTGCTGTCTAAGTATCTGAAAGGAGAATACCAATGGTGTAGGGGGTCACATAAATAAAACCTATCTGAAGATAAAACAAACCATTTTGACACCTGCTGTGGAAGAAACAGAGAAATTCATATAGATTTTTGCGAAAAACTTACAGCTCCTGTAAGGTGGTTAATTTTGCAAGCTCCATTGGCAATGGTCCAGAAAACTGGTTTGAGCCAAAACTTCTGTCAACCATAAAAAAGAAACATAACAAAACTATTACAAAGCAAAGCAAAAGAATGAACAAAAAGCACTTATTTGAAACACTGCAGAAATGGGCTTACAGGGAAAGCAACTTGGTTAAGTTCCCAAGCACTGAGGGCACAGGACCTGTCAGATTGTTTATGCCCAAGCTGCTGCTCAATTTCCCAACATACAAAAATGTACAAGCAAAAGATTCAATCAACATAAGAAGAAAAAAGAAAATTTAAAACCTTTGAATTACTCTACAAATTCAAATTGAAAGAATTGTCTTGCAATTACAGGTATTGAAGTTTAGATAACTGTCCAATTTCAGCAGGGATGGGCCCACTTAGTACATTCTGACCAAGATTCCTGCATGCACCATGGTTCCAACATTTTTATTTTTCAATTTTAGGAAGACAACAACCAAAGCTCAAGGACTAATTTGAGATCCCTCACAAGTCTATCAGCTCCTTCAGCTCAAATAGCTCTCTGGGAATTTCACCAAGAATGTCCAAAGCATATATCTTCCTGCACACCAAGGTAAATCCAGACACATTTTTAATACCAAAACTTCATGCAAAGCTGAAAATTAATGTTAATGATGATGATAAACTGACAGGTGGGTGATGTGGCAGGTGCTGCCTGCACAGTCACAAGTGACACGTGGATTTGCAGTACTGGATGCCCATGTTGCATTTGGAGTGCAGGGATCAATGGTAAGGCTCAGCTGATTTCCCAAGTCCCAGTGGTCTATGATCTTGTTGAGAGCAGAAACTGAGAAACGGAGGCAGCAAAAACAGTAAGCTCATTCAACCCAGAATTAATTCACAAATTGAAATCACATAAACAAAATTATGAACCCAATTGAAGCTTGACCAAAATAAAACCTTCATTCGGGTCAGTGGCTAATTGTGCAGAAACAAGCTGCAATGCAGAAAGAAGAAGAAGCAAAGAAAAAGACAAATTCGAAAGACCCATTTCCAAAAATTTTAAAAAAAAACTTGAACTCATGGGTTGATTTAATTTAACAGAGAAAGATTTGCACAAGGCCGGCTAGAAATCAAAGAGAATCGAATCTGTTGTGTGAATCCAAGTACAAAAACCCAACTCAGCCATTGAAGTCTTTCTTTGTTTGACTTGCATGAACATGGAGACCACTGACCAAACAGAGCTACCCAATTGCATGCTTTTTTATTTTCTTCCAGCTTTGACGGTTCGCTTGGCGCCAAAAGCAAACTGCCAGTGTTGGGAGTTTTTTTAACTGTGTTGACAATAACCCGAGTACGACGACGTTTTGTCCTGTTTCTTTCTCTGTTCCTGCACACCATGTCATGGTGGCGTTCGTGCGGCATGGTGCAGATTTTCATTGGGTTTAATTAACTTGGTCTTTTCTGATAATGATGTCTTTAATAAAATAAATTTAGAAGCGAAAAACCAATTCAGTGTTCATACAGAAACTGAAGTTATATAATAATTATATTTGCATGGATTTGAATTTGATTAAATTAGGATGGTGGCTGGCTTGTTTGTTTGAGGAAATCTCCATGGGAGAGGGAGAGCTTATGCATTGCAGCTTGTGTTGGCTTTGACTGGGTGACTGGGCTGGGCTTTTTAATCAGTTGGCCCAATATTGGGCTTCTAATTTTATTGTTGCCCAAAGAAATTCCAAAATTTTTCAATTTCAACACATAATTTTATTTTATTTAAATTATTTTTTTAATGGTACATATTATGCAAATTTGAAATTGTAATACAACTAGTCAAGTATGGCAGAATCCTGCATGTAGTCTTTGAATTCGATTTTCAAATAAGAAATCAAATATTACAAGACCTAAATAAAACTTTGAGAATCAATTCAGTTATGAAATAAATTTGAAAATAGCTCATGAATTGATATTATTACAATTCCCTAACAATAAATTTTCCTCGAAACAAAATGAAATCCCATGGACTAAATTAAAATTTAATCAAATCATAGCAACCAAAAGTGTAAGTAACTGTTTAAATTCATCACTAAATAATACCTACTTGGTAAGAGGCTTGTAACTCAAGTGGTTATAAGAATATTTACCTTTACATTCTAGGTTGTGGGTTCGATTCCCCCCGCCCCTAATATGACTTGTATAAAAAATAATAATAATAATAATACGTACTTGTCCACCGCAAATGTCAATTATATCCTTATTTCGTCAAACAATTTTAAAAGTAAGTTTATAAACTAATAAGGTTGTTATACTAGCCAACAATGTGAATCTCAGTGAAAAATGGTCTTAATTTGCAGATGAGTGGTCTTAGATTCGAACTTCCATGATACCTTAATATTGTGTGTGTCAGAATCCCTCCTCCTCCTCATAATTTAGATTATCGCTTGTATTTTAAAAATAAATAAAAAAAAGTCTGTTATACTACCATTGTTCATTCTTCTTTGAAGCGAAAAAATGATTCAAGAAAGAAGAATCGATGAATGATTAAGCGCCTTAGAGAAGTGAATCGAAAGGCTTCCGTTTCCGTTCTTGGTTTGGGGCCTTGAGTCTCGTCGTGTTCAGGCGGCTAAGCTTTATCAATTTCCGACTTTTAAGACTTTGAATTATCTTTCCGTAGTTGACAGCACATGTGTAATAGAAGCCAATTGTCATTAACGAATATATTCAAAATGAAATTAGGGCAAACAAAGAAACAAATTTGTGCTGCATTCCACTTTTATTACCCCTTTTCTATTATAAAGTTACAAACTTTGATAATTTGGTCGCAAATATTACCTATTCAAGCGAATCTCCTTTTTCATTCTCAATATACATATGCTTTTCCTTTCCCACTAGGCAAAATATGAACAAAGAGTACTACTAATTATGCTTGACTTAGCAGCAACCCTATCAGCAGCAGCAGCAGCAGCTAGCCCATCAACCTCCATTCCTCAGTATCTGCAGGCGCTGCACGGACTTGATGAAGGTTCTGCAATCAACATCATTCCCACACCAATATTACTAATAATTAATATTTTAATCTCTTTAAAATACATATAATTTGTGTACCAAACCGACGAAACAAACAAAGGGAATATTATATGGGAGGACAAAGAAGCTTAAAGGCAAAAGTTTTTAGTACTTACTGCCAGGGAACATCTGCGACGAGCAGCCAATCTCCTTGTTTGTCCTGATAAGCAAGTATATATTCTGCACCTGCACCACCACCCTCTTTGCCACCTGATCTTTTGCCTGTGTGTTTAATTGAAGCATTATATACTTAATTAATAATAAAAAAGATGAAGGGCAATCACTTAATTAGTATTTACATTTGGAAAACATGGTTATCAAGGTGTCTTTGAGCGTCTGATAAGAGTGATGAGGCCTTATATCGATCTTCCTCACAATTCCCACCCCTTCCATCTTCACCTTCACCATCATGGACATGGAATTAGCTACCAATATCTGATTCTGGTGATGAGGGTACTGATGATGATGGTGATCATGGCCGACGCCGTGGCGTTGATGAAGCATCTTTTTCCTCCATGATTTTATTGGTGGCCACCCAACTACATGGTTTCCTTCTCCTTCATTTCTGAGTTACACATTTGATAAACACACACCCTTGATTAATAATTAACTAGTGCATGAAATACAAATAAAACTACTATAAGGAAAGCTTACTTTAATTACACTATTATTCTTTGTCAAACTTATGTCGACATACGCTTCAACTACACGTTCAAAATCGTAATCAATGGCTTATAAGTCATGGTACTTACTTGGTAACGACACTGACAGAGTCTCTTCTCTTTTGCCCTTTCTCATCATCTTCCTCATTTGGCTGGCCACTCCACAATAACAAGGGCAACATTTTCGACTCATTTCCGGCACTCTCATCAAAAGCCACATCAAAACTGCGCTTGTTTCGAACTTGGTTTTTTATGCTTTCCAAACCCAAACCCGCCAATATCTCTTTCTTCTCAACCCCATCCCCATGGTTGCTCATGTCAAACCCTTTAACAGGATTGTGAACTGGAAGAGCCAGAGAAAGACCCAATTGGAGCTCCATAACATACAACTAATCAACAAGAACACCGACAAAGAATAATATGGAGAGGCAGAGAAAATTAGCAAACAAAGCAGGAAAGTTTGGCTGGTGATGAGATTATACTTGAAATGGTTATTTATATACAATTCTGAGAGAGAGAGAGAGAGAGAGAGAGAGGTGATGGAGATGGAGAAGAACCATTGTCTTGGAGAAGAGAAGAAGTTAGGGACAGCATGGAAGTTGGGTCGGGTAAAAGTTGAGCAGCGATGTAGACAGGTGAGCAAAGAGTGCACCAACGTGCCACGACCGCAAAGACTCAAGTACCCACACTATCACTCACTCCTATTCAACCTGCCACATTAGTCCTAGTCTCTCTCTCTCTCTCTTTCTTTTTCTTTGGCTTGACTAATCTAAACTATACATTTTTCTTTTCTAATACATATTATCTCTGCCAACGTGATTTAGCTCTACGAAAAAGTCTTGACTTGCATACCGTTAATTTTAGGTTTAAAATTCTATGACATCTGTCTGTGAGAAATTCTACTCCCCTTTTTAGTTTAGACTATATTTTATATATATTTTAAAACATATATAATATCTGGAATATTATTTTTTTGCATATGTATTGAAATTATTTTGCTTTCTAATTCTTTATGTATATTTTTACAGTCTGTAATTCAATACCTGAAAATTTTGGAACAAGATTTTAATAAATTAAACAATATTTGCAAACAATCATAGTCATGTTCTGCTCAACTAACTTGGCCAGTTACAACTCTTGATGAGATTAATATAATAGTTAATTAAACATGTTGAATAATCAATATGCATACATGTCGGGAAAAAGCCGTCAAACACATGATGATGCATGCATAAACTGTTTAAGTCCATCGTTCAAACTTCCATAATAATGGGACTCAAAAGTCTGAAACATTCCCCTTGACCTTGTTCATCATCCAAATCATTTTGATCCATCCTCAAAACCTCTTCATCTCCAAATTAAAATAGTAACGATTCTCTTTGTCGGAGTTTACCTATAAAACCCAATAAATATATATTATATCGACCAATAATATTGGACAAAACAACCAACAACATATGGATACGTTTGGTATGTGTTTGCTCCAAAATCCAAATACAACTAAACTAAGTGGTCTCTATGTGTTGTATTTGCAGAGGGCATACGTATATATATGCAGAAAGGCCCACGTGATGTTCACGTGACAATGAGCATGGGGCAGGACCTATATGTTTGTGAGTGCATGCAGTGCAGTGCAGACCAGCATCAGCATGGGTCGTGTGGTTCGACCCACACGTTTCAAGCCAACTTCAATGATCGGTCTTGTCATCCCTGTCTGAATGGCGCTCGTGTGTTCTTGGTGGAACCCAAATTCTTTAACACTATTTAATTTATATGTCCCTTATTTTAGCTGGCATTTTGTTTTTCCAACACATCATGGATCAGTGGCTTTGCCATGCAAATTCGACCGACTCTCTCAAATATTGTCATTTCATTTGAGAATATGAGTATACTGCATGAAAGAAAAAAGGCAAAGAGCAAGTTGAATTGATTAAAGTTGGGAGGTTCATGATGGAGATGGATTATGGGTAATGCTCCACTAATCTGAGGTTCCCAAGTGTGATTAAAGTTTGGATTAGTTTAATAATGTTATTTTGTCTTTGGTGTCCTCGAAATTCAAGAGAAACTTCCCTGCAACATGTTGTATGCATTTTTCTCTTTATGTCTCTCTTTACGTGATCAATATATGTACGACAAAGTTGCATGCATTCTTTAGTACAAGACTTTAATTTGTGTTGAAGATAAGTTTCTCTACTTATGTAGTTAGAATAACTTTTTCCGTGTAAAATAAGGGGTTGGACTAGCCTAACTTCTACCTTAATTGGCCAAACCTATTCTTTAATCCTTGCCTAATAAACAGGACCAATATACCTCATATAGGAGAAGCCTCATGTGCAGTCAATGTACACATAGCAATGCCATCAAGTTAATTTAATTCGTCTTTAGGCCAAAAAGCTTAATCAAAATTTGACCTAGTTTTAGACATGCCTAGAGTCGGGGCCAAACTCGGAAGCTCCATCAAAACAAGGGACCAAAATTTATGGAAATTTATGGTTTAGAGTCTAGATATCCAAATATTCACGAACCCTTGAGTATGAAAAATCAATTTGGGTTACTGAACCTAATCAACTCAACCACTACTGATCAAATCCTCTCTCGCATGTTATGTGCAAAGTCTGTCTGGTCCATTTTCATGTGTCAACCCTTAGAAAAATCTAAAGGACCCACATGCCTTATGCTTTGAACTTTGAAGGTAAGTGTTAGTGGGAAGCATTTTAATTTAAAGATCAAAAGTAGAATGCTCAGTGTTCATGTTCTTATCTCTTTAGAGAGGTCCCCTCATAGGGGGAGGGACCAAAGTATCCAAAAACAACTTCTTCACCCAATTAAGGGACACCCAAGGTGCTTCGATCCTTGGCTTTTGGGATAAGAGAATATGATGACCTAAATTGATAGAGACACATAACTCTCTATAATCTATTCAAAGTAGACTTGTTGTATGTTATGTCTTGTTCATAACCTGCAATCTAACTTAAACTAATGAAAGATCTTTGTGCGACGAGGACATTAGGATCACCACCACCTTACTTGGTTTCCTGGAAGGTTCGTGAAACATACATAGCAAACAAGCCTACCAAAGCTTGTCGAGTTGGATCAAAATGTAGAATATAATTCAAAAGGTTACACTAGTGTTATATTCATTCTACCTTGTGTTGACCGAAAGTAACGTTTTGTTACAAAACGTATGTTGTTAGACTATGAATTTGATAAGGTGATAATGTTAGTTTTTCAAACTAATAAAATTATCAATGTATGAGAAGAGAACCCGAAACATTGAATTCATGGAACAATTGGTTCGAGTTTTGTTTGATTCTTTCTGTTTAGGTTGAAGTCCAAGGTTAATTATTTTTAGTTTTGTAATGTGAACTTGTATTTCATAATTAGATTCGTTTGCTAATTATTAGGGTTTAATCTAATCTTGCAAACAGCCGCAAAAAGGTCATTTCAGTGAGGGGAGGTTGGGGCACCAAGAAAAATACTTTAAACCATTTTTATTTATAAAAATTGTACTTTTTAAAAAATACAGAATTGTACTTTTTTTATTAATTTTTATTTATTTATAACTTGAGAGATATTAAAGATTGGAAGAAGCGAACATAAAACATCGGTTGTATATACAAAACCCATTTGAGAAGATCAAGCAATATTATATACGACATGAATTCACATGAAAAATTATGGTCTTTGACAACCCATGAACATAACAAGCCATTTGATACCAACCAAGGACGGATCTAGGCATGGCTAGAGTGGGCTCTAGCCTAGTGCTAAATTTGGAGGTGAAAAAAATTTAATATTAATTTTATAAGTTAAACCCAAGTTAATTAAAAATAGTCCACCCCTTTTTGTTGAATTTAGCCTATCACAACCGTAAGATTTCATCTCTAGAGGCACCCACACACATCAAAAATCATGTTTTTCTATTACCCACCCATGTAAGCTATAACTTTGTATTTGAACTTGAGAGCTTAGAAGTAGTAGGTCTCCTCCTCTTTAAAATTGTATCAACCTATATCCAATGGGTTCTTTAATATTAGTAAGTTTCTCACTTACTTTTTGTTTAATTTCCAATTTCAATTGTTATTGTTAGTCTTTTATGATTTAGAGTTTGGGTGTTAAATTTTGGGAATTTTTTTCTTATTTGCTATGATTTTATTGATGACTTGTCATTTTTCTAATTTAATCTATTCATTACTTGATGTCTGCTTTTATATAGTCTAGTTGTCTCTTAGTTTTATTGAATTCTTGTAGCTTGTGATTGTGCAATTGTAGATCTAGATAACTGCACTCCCTACGTCTATGTGTACTCCCATCAAATTTAAAAATTGTTAATTGAAGAATAGTTGCTACCACTCATTTTTTTTACATATAAAAAAAACCTATAGCCTGTAGCCAATTAACCATGTAAACCCCTCATCAAAAAAACCATGTAAACCTAAAGAAAAAAAAGGTAATATAATGGATCTCCCATTAAAAAATACTAGTCCACCCCTGTAAAATTTCCTGGGTCCGCCCTTGATACCAACCCGTTAGTTTAATATGTTGTTTCACATTCGACTGGAGAACATAAAAAGGGACCAATTTTCCAAGTGTACTACTTGTAAGTTAGGGCATTGTTTGAAAGTGCTTTTAGAAAACACTTTAGACTATAAAAAATTATAAGTGTTTGACAATTTTTTATTATTTATAAAACACACTTAGAAAAATGTTGCAAGAAAAAAGAAAAACTTACTTATATCCCTATGAGAGAAGCGGTCTTAGGCAAATTTTTCGAAAAGAAAAAAATACCCATATGTAATAGCCCAGCCCATGTGAAACATAAGAACCTATGCCCACCCAAAAAGCAACCCACATGTATGCATAACCCAAAATTCCTCTCTTCTTTAATTATCTTCTCCTATTGGGTTTCTCTTAAAATACATGTAAATAGGTTAGAAGTTATGCATTATAATCTTTTTTAAACTTTAATTAAGAATGAATTATATTTTGGGGATTTTGTTGAAATTAATTAGGTCTTTGATTTTAGGAATTTTGTTAAGATATTTGATTTGTTGTTGGTATGTTAATGTTTGATTAAAGGCACTGATGCTAGTATGAGAATTTATTTGAGTTTTGTTGGGATGTTTGATTAAAATAGGTTATCATTTGTTATGTCAGATCACAATCTGAACTCCAAGAAAACAAAAAATTTGTTGGTTTTTTTTTTTATAAAGAAAAAGAATATTTTTTTTTTTTGTGGCTAGGCTTTTATTTATATATAGAGATGCATTTAAAGATAAAACTCATTATGTCCCCTGATTATGTGTATCTTTTTAAGTTTTGACCAATCAAATTTTGAATTGTGAATCTGCCACTCATGGGTGTCTCACATATAACCCATATGCCACTCACATGACATTCCAAAGTGTGAGACAAACTGGAATTTTTCTCACAAGATAGAAACAGTGAGAAGTAGACCATGGAATATTCTCTTTTTTATTTGAGTTTTTCTATTTAA